AAATATTAATATAGATGGGGAGAAAGAAAAAGAATAAGACAGAATCAGTTGTTTCTTCAACTGATGAAGAAAAAGAAGAAGTTGTTAAAGAAACATCAGTTATTGAGTTTGCTTGTCCAATGTGCAAAAAAATCTTAGAAATGAAAAATGAATTAGAAATACAAAAGAAAGGAAACTGTAAATGTTCGTGTATTCCGACAAGTTTCAAAATAAGTAGAAATGATAAGAAAATGAATATTGATAAAACTAAAGACAGTATAAACTTAGAAACAGATGTTCATAATATAGCTATACGATTTGGGAGGGGGGTTACTCCGTCAGATAATGGTGAAAAGGAAACTCAGGAAACTGTTAAACAAATAATGTAAAATTAGTATTTAAAGAGTAGATTTAACATAATTGCAACATTTAGTTTTAAAAGTTTAGTTTTATAATTTAGTATATATGGAGGAACATTTAGCGAACATTGACAGTAGTTTAGAGTTGTTGTTTCCAAGATTAGAAAAAGTGTTGGAGCAAAATGAAAACATACTGAAAATCTTAAAGAGCATGAATATTAAACCTACATATAATAACAATAACAATTATCAAGCAAAAGAAGTAGATAGAGACAGTAGCGAATACAAAAATAAACGAAACATTTATGTTAAAAAACTGAATGAAAAAATCATAAAAGAACCTAAACAATCAAGTCTGGATTACTATCAAGTCAAGTATAAAGAAGACACCAAGAAATACGTTTAATCATTAACTAACAAAATTTCGTGTCTCCTGCTACTTTGTAAGTTTTATTACCCATAATATCATATTCAATTTTATCGATATTGAATATTTTATTAGACCATTTAGAGTTATACTCCTTTCTGTCGGTGTAATTACCCCTTTTCTTTTGAAACACTTTTACCTTGTCGTTCTCCACTATTCTGGGATACTTTCTTTTGTTTTTTTCTCGTAGTTTAAGATTGACCTTTACATTTATTTCATTGTCGTCCTTGTGTGCTTCAGACGGTGTCATCCTTGTTGATGAGTGAGATGTGCTGTTATACTGTTTCAATGCTTGCGTTAGGGCATCGGTCCATTTCATGTTGTTAAACCTAACTCTATCGTGAATTTTGTTTTTCATCGTTCTAATAAAACGCTCGGCCACATTTGCGTGGGTCTTCGTGACGATGTGGTTTATTCCTTCACTGTTGAAGAAATCCTGAACTTGATTTTTAGTTGCAAACGCTCCGTCGTCATCAGAATACACGGACATCGGATAACCCATCTTTTTAAAGCTTGTTCTCAACGCCTTCAAAACGTGCTCTCCGTCTCTTTCCTCCATCGGTATTACATCTGCTAATTTACTGAAGATGTCAATCACGACTAAAGCATACTGTGGAACGATCTTGTCTTTTGCTAAAGGTGACATATGCATTATGTCTATTTGATATTCATATCGTGCGAATGGAGCGGTATAGGAATTAGTACCTCTATAATTTTTGATTTGTTTATTTGGTTGTTTCTTTAAGAAAGACTTTACATCGTCTATTGTTATTGTTGGGTCTTCTTCCTTTGCCTTCTTGTGTGTCGCTTGTGTGCTTCCGAAGCCCTCGTCTAAGTCGTAATAGATGTTGCTGATTATTTGGTCTTTTGTTAATCTCGCCATTATATTAAATTGTTAGAAAATATATTTTTTTCAATATAAAGCCCCACCCCTTAACATAAAATAAAAAACTACTTAAAGAAATATTAACTTATTATATTAAGTGAAAATATGACTGAAATAAGATTAGAGGACTTGAATTTAGAAAATGTCGGAGTGATTGCTGACTTATCAAACTTGGTGCTATCAGACGAAGAAGATGATGATAATGACAGTTATAAAAAGGAATTAGATGAAGAGTTAAACAAAATAAAGGATTTGATCAAAAGACACCCTTTGCCACCAGTTGATGAAAACGAAGAATTCTGGAATGATGTCATTAGCAGGTTTAGGGATAATAGCGGATTAAACTTGATGACGATATACTCATTTGTTAGGTTTGACATCATGAAAGAAATGTATGAAAACCTAACAGATGAAGACATTATAAAAGACTGTGGTAAAAAGTTAAACCGTGATGGAAAGTTTAATGCAATGATTATTAACCACTATATCTTATCAGGAGCGATACGGAAACTAATCAAAGAAGACAGTCTAGTAGATGGACAGATGCGAATTATTGAATTCTGGTGGGATGGAATAGGTGAATGGAAAGCGTGAGTGATTTAGTTTAATGATATTATTCAATTATAATATGATTAAACATTGTTTTATAATCTAACAAGAAGGTTAAGACATTTAAATTAAACCTGAAACCCAGACCAGCCGACCAGCAACCCCTAGCCAAAACTACTTAAAGAGAAAACACCTTATATAAAGAGAAAAATGAGTGAGGGTAAAATGTCAGAGAATAATTTTATGGTTAAGAATTGTGCTAGCTTACCTGTTGATGTATTAAAAGGTATCATTTCATATAAATTAGGGGAACCTGAGTAATTGAAAATAAAACATAATCATATTAAGACATTAAAGAGAATACAACAACAATATAAAATAAACAGAACAGAAACAAAAAGAAAGACAAAGCGCTATACTGTTGAAGATGGCGATGATATAAAGAGACACGTAATTGAGTATTACATTACAAGAAATAAACCTTTAAGCATTAAAAACATTGAAGATATAGTTTTTAATGAAAATGAAAACTTAGGTTGTTTGTTAGATGGCATTGAAACCGATAACAGTTATGGAGAAGTGATAATAGTTGAGATGAATATGTTTGTAAGGTTTCATCATTTCAATTATGAAGACGATCATTTTAACACTTTTAGTTTTCATTTTCATAGTGATGATTTTGTAGATAATATAACCATAGATAATATAACCGAAGTAATGATAGAGGCACATCAAACAATATACAGATGTATTGATAGTGAAAGAAGTAGAATGAATTTTGAAGGAGTACAAAACATAAGGTTTAAACTAATTGTTGATGAACCTGTGTAATTCATAACTAAACCACAACCCCTAGCCAAAACTACTTAAAGAAATATTAGCTTATATATTAAGAGAAAAATGAACGGTGATGGAATCAATAATTATATCGATAAAAAATGCTATGATTGTTGTCACTTCAAAAAAGAAAATATGGAATTGTATAAATTGAACTTACCTAATGAAATAGTGAATAATATTATTAATTATTCAATGGATGAAGAAGATTTATGTAAAATTTGTAGAAATTGGAGATATTATCAAGAATTAATCAGATGTCTGTTGGGAATAAAAAGAATTCGACAATAGAAATGTAGAAGATGATATTTTAATATTTCTAACTGTAAATAAAATACCACCTTATGATTATGTTAAACAGTTTCTTAAAATTAGTAAGAAAAAATATGAAATGATGGATGATATATTATGGTTGTTGTGTTATAGTCAAGGTAAAGGAGAAGATGTTAAAGAAAATATCAAATTATTTATTGAAAGTAAAAAGTTTAATGTTCAGAATACAGTGAGAGACGTTAATATTATTTTTAAAATGATGTATGAAAGAAGAACGATTTGTGAATTACATTATTATCCTGTACTGAAATTATAATCATAATATAATAATAACATGTAAAATCTTATATGTTATAATTATACTGAACTTTTAACCTATAAATGAAAATTAGTGAGAACAATACTAACAAAACAAATACACCACCAACACCCCAGAACTTGATAACTACTAAAAGGGTCAACTCTTTCAAATGAAAAAAATGTTTGCCCCTAGCCCAACAATGAACAAGGCGAGAAATTACCCAAATGATGACCTTAACGAAAACGATAAATAAGCTCCCCAAAAACCCTCTTTTAAAAACGAATAAGGGGGAACACAGATTTGAGATGAACATAAAAACCAGAACAGGCAACCCTCAACAGACCACCCCCCAGGCCCCCTGTTTTCTCCATTTTTTCCCCCACCCCCCATTTTGAGGGGACAAAATCAGCAATCAAGGTACCTTGTTTGAAGGCGCCCAACAAAAAGGAGGTTGTGTTCAAATGGAAAGCCAAGGTTTGGGGGTGTTCGTAACTTTCAGAGACAAAGTCCACATTGCTGAGATGATGATCAGCTGAATATATGCGAAAGGAACTACACCAGTGGTTTCCAAAATCAGGCAAATGCACCTAAAGTTTGGCTTTTCTACCGAGAGAAAGCAATCACAGCAAACTTGAATTTGCTAGAAGAGTCTCTGTGACAAGGGGAGCGTCCCCACCCGCTTGCTTCATAGTGGAGACTCAATGTATACAAAGAAGGTGGCAATCATTGCAAGACTATATACAACCTCAGCCTCACTTTAGTAAAGACAAAGACGCCAAGACAAAATATTTGCTTCGCTACATGCATAGCTTCGTTTCAAGGCATCAGCCTCCCATTGAAAAGGGTTTCTGCGTGCGTTGGCTGCTTTGGCCGCAGTTTGTTGCTTCCGATTTTCGGGCAATTGCGCTGCAACTATAGAAACACATTGGGTGGTTGACCATACATGCACAACAACAATGCTGTCCTAATTCTCCCGTTCACTGCCAAGCCTGAGCCAGAGATTACAAATTGCAGAAACGCCAGAAGAACACGTGTGTGACGCAGCTTTCGCCTCCATTTTGGCTGGTATTTATTGCAAAGCAAAAGGAAACCAACCATTCTAAAGGACCCTTACTTTGAGCAACACCCAGCGCCAATGGGGGGGGGGGTTGCCGCACTATCAAGACCGTTGCTTCTTCGTATCACAAAAATGAATGTATGCAGTATGTGTGCATCAGATCGTGAGACAAACCAACAACACACGTGCGGAACAAACCACTTCTGCGGGTATGGACGCTCCCTTCAGCGGGGACCACGTCGGTCCAGCCCAGAAACAATCGCTTGATGTTTGTCAGGGAGGGTCATGAGCTGTGCCTCTCAGAACTCCCCTCACCCGGACGGTTCGGATGCCTCCGTCATGTAGAGCGAGCCCTCCTGACTCTCAGCACCCATAGAGCCTGTACAGGGCAGGCGATTGACCAAACATGTGCTGTGCGCGTCGTTTTTTGGGATTGCTTTTGAACGATGCTTACACACTCTATACATATATAGTTGGCATTTGCTGGTGACAGCTTCAAAAGAGGCTGCAGCTGATACTTGTCTGCAAGCTTGCTGTTTGCTAATCGCATCATTATGTTTCGTGCTCTGGGGATTGGTGACTTCTCCACGAGCTCCACGCTACGGCGCCATTGAGGTTGGCTTTTAGTGGGCTCGTGAGTTGGCCTGTTCACAACGTTGGCTTTGACCACGCAGCTGTGGCAAACGCACTGTCAGCAAGCCTTAGGCTCAAGCCTGAAGAGCAAGTTCGAGTAACTTGTTTGAGCGGGTTTAGGAACCAATCTTGGTATGCTGTAGGCTTAACCAGAGTAGATGATGCTGAATATTCAACATTGATCGTGGTCAAACTCCTTATGCGGGTCCTGGGCATTCTTCTCTGAAAAGGATTCAAACATCCATGAATGTCCATAGTGAGCCCTGTCTAACGGCAGTTTGTGACATCCTGGCATATTTCATCTGTTCGAATTTCCCAGGGCACCTTCTGCCGGGTGAGCTCAGTTTTACCCAAAGGCAGAGAGAATGTATCAAGTACCCTGAGCCCCCCTGAGCCCCCCTGAGCAAAACAATCTCCTTGGCAAGGATCAATGGAAAACCCAGAGCAAACCAGATCCACCGAAGACAAAGCCAGGAAATAACGCAACAGTTGAGGATGATTCGGCCACAGTCGTAGTAGTCGCACCAAACATCCTGCTCATATCAAGGTCTTCTACTTTTTCAAACTGGCAAAGCTTGCCGCAATAATGCAAACGATCTGGACAGAACGTAGTATCATCCTGTTTAATCACATGCTCTCAAAAAGGAGCCTCCCAAAGAAGTTTCCTCTACAAAGAGAGTTACTTTTGGGCTCCATGTTACTTCATCTGCAGGGCTGCAATGGAAAGGCTAGCTAATTACCAGTCTCTTGCTCTAATGACAAAAATTGGTTCTGAAGTACCCCACACCCCATTCCAGTTTTTTAGCCCACAAGGCCTTTTCCCCAGCCTTGACTGGGAGTCAGGAGGCCTCCTTTGAAAGAGGCCGCCTACGGGGACCTCCCTCCCTAAGCATAAATTAGTCATTGAAAATGTGCGGTCGTGTTTGCAAAGAATACCAGTGCGCTCCACAAGCATGGCTTTTCCTGCAGGGAAACCATCTCAACTTGGGTCGGACGGAGGCCAGGCGCTGGTCAAACCCACCCATGTTCCGGGCATTTCCCGCTACCCAGCTCTCACCTGTGTCCCTCGGGCCTGCAAGCTCCAGGAAGGACGACCACATAAGGATGGACAAGGAGTCCAACGACCTCCGCGTCGCCACCTGCGCACATCGCTCATTTTTTTCCGGATGATTTCCAGCCAAATAAAAAGATGACGAAGCACGAGGAACATAGGGAGCAATAGAGTAGAACGAAAACAAGCCATGCGTGGAATAATCGGAATCAAACAAAAACGAAGGGCGGTGCTAGAAACACATTCAGCCAATTGAAACAGCTGAATAAAGAATACAATCATAATGAGGCCAACCAGCAAATTAGAGCTGAATACGTCAGTGCAAACAACTCTGATTCATACGCAGTAATGCTATTTTTTGAAGGCAAAGAGTTGCAGCAATGCTGTGAACCTCGATCTGCCTCAAGCTCCGTGCGGGACATTGAGAAGGCACATACCCTTTGGGCGATGCAAAGTACTATCATAATACGCAACGCTGCCTATTCTCCCTGTTCCAGGCAGCCATGCAACATTTGGATGCAACTCAGTGCCACGCCTGGCCGCAACCAACTCTGAGCTTTGGGCAACCTGCTGTCAGGGAAAACTGGAGGGACATTATTGTAAGCAACCTTCCCACGTTGGACAAAAAAGGTACAGGAATCACTGAACGCTCCTGCGGGGAATGTATGACAGGGTAAGTGTCCGAGCCCACCAAACAAACAGAACATTCATGCGTCGTGCCCAAGAAGAGCAGTCCTTGCTTCTGCAACTGGCAGAGAAAAGATCCCCTGAATGTGCATCACATCCAGGTAAACTAGAGTTGTATGCAGAACAAACCATCTATGAAAGAAAGCTTCATCATGGATTTGGTCGCAAACCGGCAGTTGTGAGGTCGCTGGCATTTGCCCGGAATAGTATGTGCCCTGCTTTTTTGAATTTGTCCCTGGGCCCTCCTCTCTGGATGCTCCAACCCCTTGAGTCCCAAGGAAATACCGCATGAAATTCGCTCCTCGACTCAGGTTGATCGCTTGTGGGGAGTACTACTCAGCAAACACAGATCTAGCTATGCATCTCCGCGGCACACCAAGGCCCTCCCTTCATTCCTTTCGAAACCCCCACGCTACCACCTTGCCCCAAGCCAAAAACAACCCCCGAAACCGACCCAATTCCCCGAATTTCCCCGAATTCACCACTGCCAGACTGTCCCCCGCTTCCGCGAGAAACAACACCCGAAGCCGCGCCTCGGGGGTTTCGCCCTGCACCAACTTGGACAGCACCGCCAGGCCCGCCGGGCAGCTCTCCGCGTCCAGGAACAGCTTCAGCTCGAAGTCGTGGCCTTGGGCTGGGGCACTCGGGGCACTCGGGCGGTCCAAGAATGGCTTACAGACCTTCGGGAAGCAATCCGTTTTACGGCCACCAAATCAGAACAACCATCCGGATCTAGCACCAAATCATGTGGGGACTAATTCAAAGGTTGTTCGTGCGGAACCTTCACCAATAACACTTCAAACGAAAACACGGTGCACCAAATATAGAAGTCGGCTGAGCTTGAAAGTTGCATTGGACCTCATAGGTCCCTAATTGCGAAGTCCTCAAGTAATTTCAACTGCCGCTTGTTTCTGTTGGCAATGCACCTATCTGTGGCGGCACCTGGTTGCTGGCTCCGGGTGATGCTGGAAGAACTCAAGCAAGCAAACCAACTCAACTTGACATACAGAATGGTCTCAACACTTGTAAAAAAAAACGCTGTTGTTTTGTTGCGTGCGCTTGTTTGCGTGTTTATATGTCGGTCTGGCTGCTTGTCTCTCTATGTGTATGATTGTTTGCTTGCCTGATTGCGTGTGTGTGTGGGTGGGTGTTTGTGTGGGTGTTTTGATTGATTGACTGCTTGCTTGTGTATTTGATTCCTAGATTGTTTGTTGTTTGTTTGTTTGTTTGTTTGTTCGTTTGTTTGTTTGTTCGTTCGTTCATTTGATTCAGTGTGTGTGTGTGTGTGAGTGCTTGGTTGTGTGTTTGTTGGCTTGTTTGCTTGTGTGTTTGTTTGCTAGCTAGCTAGCTAGCTTGCTTGCTTTCTTGCTTGATTGCTTGCTTGTTTGTGTCTTTGTCTGTTGCCTGTGTGCTTGTTCGTTCGTTTGTGCTTGATTGCTTGCTTGCTTGCTTGCTTGCTTGCTTGCTTGCTTGCTTGCTTGCTTGCTTGATCTTGCTTGCTTGCTTGTTTTGTTTTTTGATGATTTGTTTGATTGATTGAGTGGTTGTTTCTTTATTGATGGTGTGTTCTTCATTTCTCTATTTCTTTCGATTTGTTGTTCTTTCTTTCTTTATTACTTCATGGTGTCTCCCGTAATTATGTGGTTATTACTGTCTTTATGTTTGTTCTTTCTATGCTGTTCTGTGTGTATTCATTTTATTGCGTTACTTTTTTGTTATTTTGTTCCTTGCCTTTCTTCCTTCCCTCATCCCTTTCCTTCTTTTGTTTATTTCTTTATTTCTTTCTTTCTAATTTTATGTATGTTTGCTACTTATTTATTCTTTCTCTACTTATGTCTCTGTTTCTGTCTTTCATGTTGTCTTCGTTATCTTCTTTATTCAATTAGTCGTATGTATATTGTCATTCCTTTACTTGTTTCTTTCCGTCTTTGCAGCTTTGTTTATTTGTTGCCGAGTGTCGCTCTTCATGCCTTTATTCATGTGTTTCCTTATTTCAATGTATTTCTGCATGAATGTCTTTATGCATTTCTTGTTTGCTCTGTTTGTCTGCTCTGTGTATGTGCTGTTTCGGTCTTTAGTTATTTCTTTCTGTCTGTCTTCATTCAGACACGGTGTTTCTCCTTTGTTTGTTTATGTGCTTATGCTTGTGTGCTTGTTTGTTTGTTTGTTTGTTTGTTTGTTTGTTTGTTTGTTTGCTTCTTTGTTTGCTTGTTTGTTTTGGTTTGCTTGCCTGCTTTTTTGCCGGCTTGCCTGCTTCTTTGCCTGCCTGCCTGCTTCTTTGCCTGCCTGCCTGCTTGATTGCTTCTTGCGCGTTTCTTCGGGTCGTGTGGAAAAAAGTGAAAGTGTTTGATTTCGCAGAGTTGCGCCTTTGGGTTGAGCTGGATGAGAAAACATAGCTAAGCCAACAAGTCACCTAGCAAAGTCCGCCATTTGGGAAGTACGCCTGAACATTGAACATAGGGAATCTTAAAGTTGGCACAGCCATACCTGCCAAAACAATTCTCGTTGAGTTGGGGAATAGGGTGCCGGGCGCTGCTCCTTTAGTTGGCAAAAAAGTTAAAGTCTTAACGTCCAAGCAAAACGCACCAAAGTATTGTCATGTATTGCTGTCACGGCATACTGGGAGAGAGTCACTCCAAAGAATCCGGGCCCACAGTTGTCAGATCCCCGAGCCTAGGCATTCTGCCAGCTGCATTCTGTCTTCCTCATCCAACCGTTGGTATGAGGGCAGCACCTGCGCATGCAACCCAGGTTTTCTGGGTGAAAGTGATGACTGTTCACACCCAAAGCACGCGAGCAGGAAATGGATGGCCATTTCAAACCAACGAGCAAAATGAGGAAATGGGAGGTTTCCAACAGCCAGATGTAGATGCCTCTCAAAGTATGCAGCTTCATGCAAATGTTGTTTTTCCTGTTGCTTTCTCTATGTTTCTCTGAGACATCCCCAAGTGTGGTTTGGAAGGACGCACTATGGTTTGTCGGGCATGCCCCGAATCATGCCTGAAAACAGCCTCCTCAAGGCAGAACCGAATTTACTGGAATCTATCCAAAACCAAATGGAAGGGCTGGCGGCCGCCTCAATGGTGGAAAACGCACCCTTCTGGAACCTCCATTTACCCAGACACACATTGTCAATGGGTTCCGCCCTCTCGACCATAGTCACCTTTTCTTTTTAAGAAGACCTTTTGATCCAAGATATGAATCATGTTTCCCTCAAGTCGGGGGTGTAGCACTCGTCGGGCTACAAAGAAGCTGCGCAGAGAAATCCGGTTGGGTTGGTCTTTCCACGGAAATCAATAGGACACCAACCAGTTTGAAATCCAAATCCTAAATTTGAGACAACACCCTGGCAGGTGTCAAAACACCTCTACTAAGAACAACAAGTACTCAAAGCCACGCAAAGAGGCCGCCCACAAGATCTGGGTTGAAGCCAGCCCCCATAAATCTGCACCTGCGTGTTGTGATTGCCTATAGACCTCCTATAGCTTTTTTCGGCGGGGTTACTATACATTATTGGCGTTGTTACCCTGTTTTTCAGCATTCTTACCCCACATTTGGCGTGGTTACCTCACCATCTGTCATATAGCTATAGCGCGACGCAAAAAAAATCCACTGCCGTGCCTTTGGGCAGTGTTTCAGCACGTGCGCCATGACATCGCCTGGGGCCGGATGGAGGCCGGGGCAACAAGGCGAAGGACTTGAAAGCTCCAGGGCTCAAACTTCACCGCGTTCAAAGGGCCCGAAGTCGTCTTTGGTTCTTTTCGGAGGTGTGACGTGTCAATCTCTTGGATGATTCCGAGGGTGCCACTGAAATGGACTCTGCATCAAGCCACCAGGGTTGGAGACACTTGGCTACAAACCAGGAGGCTCTAAATAACGTAACTAAGAGCTTCCAAGCAAAATCACCCTGTTTCCAGAGTCCGATACGTTCCGATACGTGTTGTCCGATGGGGGAAATCCGGGGACCCGTCAAAGCCCCGCGGTTGGCCCGGGCTTCCCTGCGGGACTCGGTGAGGCCCTTGGCCTGCTGCTGCCGGAACTTGGGCACGGCACAAATGGTCCGCACCATGACCTCGAGGTGGAGGGGTGGGGTTTGGGGTTTGGGCTGGGGTGTGGGGAATGGTTTGGGGATGGGCTTAAGGCAGGTCTAGGGTAGGGTGGGTTAGGGTGGATCTATGGTGGATCTCTGGTGGATCTATGCTTAGTTTTGGGACGGCTTGCAGCGGTGTTCAATCCCAAACTTCCAACTAAGAAGCCCACCCCCTCCTTCCATGCCTTTCTCAAGGGGGGATGTAGATCAGCGTGGGTTGAAAAGGGACAACCTTTGCGCGGCTGCCTGGGATTGACATTGCTGATGTGGAAACCCTCTGTCTGGAGTTCAGCTGCAACATTTATAAGGGTTCCAAAAAAAAAGGCAAGAACAATGCAAAAGGCAGTGGTCGATATGCATGCCGAGCCCAGAAAAGGACACAAAAGAACACCTCGCGACGAGCCCAGACTTCATGAGTGGGCTAGCCAACACAAAGTACAAACTCGTTGTTTCCCATAGACGCCCCTTTTTGTGGGTTTTGAAAGTCGGAAAGTCTGAAGGGTACCTCACTTCTGGAGTAGACTTAGGATACGATTTACATATTGCCAGCGAATCCATGTGAAGCAAACAATAAGATATACCTTCTATAACTGGGCCTAACTCTAATCATGACTTGCTTCGTGCTTTCGCCGCTTCTATTTTTTTTGTTTCACCCCGTAGCCCCATCAGCGCGCTCCGGGAAACGCTCCCCACCACAAAGTCTGAACGTCCAGCAACTTGGGAACTCTGTGTGTGTGTGTGTGATTGTACCCATTTTGGGGTGGTCTAAAAGGAAAACCAAAAGGCAACCAAAATCCATTTTGGGGGTCTCTCACAAAAAAGACACATCCAAGTGAGGCGAGAAAACCCCCCAAAACCCGGTGTGAACGACTTGAGTGCAAGCGTTTTTCGCCGAGGCACTGCGGCACAAACCACACTCATCACATCCACCTCCTCGAACCTCAAGGCGTGGCTTCACCGCAAACCTTGAAGCACCGACCCGACTTTTTGGCCCCCTCAAGTGCCAGAGTTCCTCCTTCCAACGTACCAGCACCAAACAAGTAATGGAAGGTCCAGGTTTTGCACTTTGAACTCTTAGGTTGGATCCAAAGACAAAGAACACAAGTTTAAACGTGTAGTTTGGCTGTGCATATGCCGGCTTAGATCCGGGAGACGAGTAAACCCCTTGTGACCATGGCATTTGCACAGGGCTTTGAACAAAAACAGAAGGCACCAATACGCCCTTAAAATGTCACCTCTTGTATGTGGTGCTTTCAGGTGGACTTGCCGAAGCCGGACCCCTTGTTAGGCTCTGGCCCTATTTGTTATCATCCCCCCGGCTGGATAGAGGTTTGTGTGCCAGATAGCAAGGCCCTCAAAGGATCAGCTCACGACTTGGTCTTCACTGCCTGGAGTCTCCGTGTCGCTCCCTGGAAGCCCAACTCATCCAGATGCTCCAACTGAAAGTGGCCTCCGATTTCTCCCATGGGCCATGTGCCTTGGGATCCAAGTGCCTTGCACCCCTTCCAAACTGCGGCGGAGGAGCAGTGGGCCCAGCCAGCCCCGCAGGAAGGCCCAGGAGTCATCCTCGGATCGGTGCTCCCAGTCGCGGGAAGAAATGTGGGTCCAGAAATGTAAGCCCTACTTCCTGAGTGGATGGGCCAAAACAGTCCGAACTGCTTGTTTGCCAATGTTTGCCACTAACGTGTTAAATGCTCTTCGTTTGAAGTCCGGAAACTCAGGGAGTGAGGAAGAGAGGACACTAGACCGCCGTGCTTTTTTCTCCCGTGGTTCAGACCTTTCTTCGGAAGTGCGTGGTGTTGCCCCAACGCCAATCCAAGTTTTCTACCATCACAGTGCTTTCTTTGGGCATTGTTTGAGGCGAGCAACTCTGGTACTAATTGGAGATAGGCCATTCCGAAAGCTTTCCTTCGGTTGCAGCAGTCGAAATTGCAAGTACATCGACCTGCCAAAATTTTGATCACAGGGTAGATCACCGCTTCCTCGTGTGTTTGGCCAAAGGCATCCATCGGGCAAGCCTGAGGCAGAGGTGTGAGTCATCCCCAGATATTCCCGGCTCCCAACACCTTCCCTGTTGACCCGCTGCGAAAAGTGCCTTGAACCGCTTGTCTTGTTGGGGGAAGGGCAAATTGCCACTCAAAATGAAAGAAAGCCACTTCCCAGAAGGTTTCCAATAGCCGTAATTTGGGGAACTCCTCCCCAGGCTCCCATCCACTTGCGGAAGACGCAAAGAGGACCCCGCGAAAATGTCTGCCGGTTCGGAGCTCAGTCCCTATGGAGCCTGACTGGAGACGAGGCCAGTGAGCCCGTTCCGGCTTCCATGTTTGGGGAACCCGCCAAAGAATTGATGGAAGTTCATTGATGTACATACCCTTGGCTGCCCTGGTAAACCCATTGATTCTAATAATCCGCCCAACAAAAGCTGGGCTGTCCTCCGATCCGCTACAAGTAGCTAACAACCAGTGGGTTAAATGGAAACCCAGCCACTAAACCAACTAAAAGCAGCTCAAAACCGTTTTAGGACTCGGACGGTCGCCTTTTGCCCTCCGGTTGCCGCCCGGTTGAGCGAGGCGCCGTGAGTCGCTTCGAGACCTCCTGGCCCCGGGTGAACTCCTCGTAGCGGTCGGAGGCCAGCCTCAACTTGCGAGTCGCTTCGGTCTGGGGCGCTTTGCATGGCTGTAAGCGGTCCGGTCCAAGTTGCCAGGCCTTCCTTTTTTCCCATGGCGCCTCTGGGAGATGGAAGATGAGATTCCTCCTAAAGGGACCAGCTTCATCTATTGGATCTCCTATGGCATTTAATATTCCTAAAGTTGCTTTTCCAACCGGTACTGGGAAAAAATATGAAAGGTGCCATGTTCGTGGGAGGTAGAGTATCGGACCGCCGGTAGAGTCCATGCCATAAATGCAATCCAGCAAACCGACAGTCAACCAACCGGAGTTGTTTGCTTCAGAGTGCGAAGTCTAGTCAAAACAGCTGTCATTCCAGTTCTTCAGTCTCAAAGGACTTCAGCAGACTTCACTCAATTCAGGCAAATGGAAGCAAAGGGCTGCTAAGCAAACATGATGCCAAGGTGGCCCATTGGCACTTCAAAGGGCGGCATCCTTGAAATCGCTGCAAGGGGCTCCGAAAGACACTTGGCCCACCACAACGACCAACCTGTCATCATTCTGAAAGACTACTTGCAGGCAAGACGAAAATCGATTGGGACCACAGGCATGCACAAATCCAAGACATTCCGAACAGTACCTCGAAAACCTCACAACTACGGTGCCTAAGGCACTTGAATCAACTCGTAGCACCTCCTTTTGCCACATCGCCTTTGAACGGGGGTTTTCTTGTTATATGACTTGAGTGCCAGTCACTGTATGTTACAGCAACATAAGAATCTCATTGAGTCCCCCGATTTTGTGTGAAGTTTAGTAGGTCCTCCTTTCCAAAATCCCTCCCGAACTGACCACACACCAGTCAACATGTCCTCCGAACCTAGCACTGATGGCTTTGCAGCACTGCACAGCTTTGCTGCAGAGGGGCCAGTAGATGCAGAGCATCGTGCAGTGGGCGCGCTTCCTGATCCTCACATGACTCACTTGCGGCTGTGCCGCAAACGGGAAGAGCTGACTAAGTATAGGAAGGGCTTCTCCCATGGTGCGCCCAGAATTGTTATGGACCCGGAGAAAGCAAGGAACATCCCGAATGTGAAATGCCCAATGGACCCCCAAATAGACCACGGTTGATGCAGCTCATTGTAGAGAGGAATGTATGTGGTGGTTCATGTGTCCAATGTTTGATGCGGAACAACACCCTGAACAAACAAGGGACACGGGCACTGCGCTTCTACAAAACTGGGAACACGCCCTGACCAAGAGGCACTACATGCGATCAAGTGTCGAAAGCATTACATAATCTCACCTGGTTCAAGGGGTCCTCACTTTCAGCATGGTACATGTCCCTATGGGTCAGAGAGTAAGCAATCGCACTTCGCAAAGCTTTATACATCTGCCTTTAATTTGTCAAGACCAAAAATCATTGCACCAAGGAATCCGAGGCTTGCGCGCTATGAACATCTGTCGAGACCCTGGAGCAGCCTACAAGATGTATCCTATCGGCAAGCCAGCTCCAGGCTGAGCGCCATGTAATGCCAGGGACTAAGCCGAAAGAGCTGTCCCAAAAGTTTCATGAGTGCAACAAATGCAACGAAGGGGCCCTAAGAGAACGCAGGTCCCTCAAAGAGAACTCGTGGGCGTGCGTGCCAAAATCATGGTTTGCCATGCGCACAAAAAGCAACCTGTCACCTTTTGCTTGCTGGTTGACGGCACCAGAAAAGGCAAGAGAGGACTCCATTGGATGAGACTGAAAGAAGAGCGTTTGCTTGGGCATGGTGGACACAACCCACTGACTGGTTTGCTTGGGCCACGTCGTCCCAGGTCTGTCTGGATGTCAAAACGAGGTTTCGAGGGTATGATCCCATCCCCGACAGCACCTCAAACTCTGGATCCGGAGAGGCATGCGTAGCAAACGGGGGCGGCAAACGTCATTGGAAATTTGCCGACTAAATGTTGCAAAATGCATGGCCACGAGACTGCAATGCTTGATCCGTCAAAAAGGTAAAAACATATCCGGAAGCCTCCATCCAGCAACCATCCTTTTTAATATTTTTTGCAAAACTGGCCTTGTAACGTGCATATGCATATACACATACATATGGATTGCTCGAAAAGCTGAGGCCTTGTGGTCATTGGAGCCGATGAATCATGAAATTCCACCCAAGAGGATATTCAAAGGTCATGGCCTGGCTTCAGGCGTGGGTTCATGCGACAGGAGCGCAGTCAGTATCGAGAGAATTGGCCAACAGCATATTAATATCTATCCGGCTGGCCCCAAGTATTGACGTTCACAGGAGTCGAACACTGTCTTTTTCTAAGAAGGGCCACCGTTTACGCTCGGACACTGCCCCACTTTGGTGTGTCCTGTTTTAGTAGACGCCCAAAAAGGTGGTATTCCTTTTGGCGTCCCTTCAAACAACCACCAAAACAGGGTACCCTCGCACAGAGACACCCCCCAAAAAACCGGCAAGCGCCAACCCGGTCGGCAAGTGGCTCTGCGACCTCCTCACCCTCGCCCTCCAGGTATTTGAACTCTGGGAAGGCGGTCTTCCTGAGAGTTCGAAACGCCAAATGAGCGGCCAAAGCTTCTTGGCCGCTGGTTTCTAGAATGGTTGTAAAGGTTATGTGGGTGTGGTCATTAAAAAAAAGAATGGCGCCTCGCCCTAGCATCTGCGGTCCCTTTCGTTTTGAGCCATAGCGGTCCATATCCTGGTTTGTGGGTTTTGAGCCATAGCCATCGCAGTTCCTATCCCAACGATGCTAGGTAGAGCTTAGTACAATGGCCAATGGGAGTCGGTTTGGCCAATCGAAAAGGGGAAACATGACAACTAAAGGCCGCGAGCAGCATCTGTGAGCTTTCAAAGAGGGTTTCTCGGCTTCTCACAAAATCCCGAGCACGTTCCCGCATTTGGCCCAATGGTGTCAAAAGCTCAACCCTGACAGCCCTGAGCTTCACTTACCCATAGTGCTTGTGTATAAAGTGCCGAATTCTGCCCAAAGCCTGGATTTAAGGGACCAGGAAGCAGGTAAACTTACTTGGACCTGCACTAAGAGTAGCCCAAAAAGGGCAAACCAACAGGTGAAAAGGTTGAAATTGTACATTTTCAGAAAAGATCTCAACCCCTGATTAGAACAAGTCCGAAGTTAAAATGATGAGAGGTTTGACCAAAGACTAGCTGTCGAGTCGCTGTGGTCAAGTGAGTCAGTCCCAGTTGCCCAGTGAATTCCGTAGAAAAGGGTATAGCGGAACCCTTTTTGAGCGTCATGACTTTTTGGCGAAGAACCCACCAACCAAAAGATGAAAAATGCTGGAATCCGCTGAACAACTGTTGCATCCTTATTCTTGCGTCTTTGAATGCTTTCTTTCATTTCCTTAAGGCGCAAATGAACAAAATAAGAACACAGTTTCAGTAGTTTCAACTTTGAAACCTGTATATATATATATATAATATGTCTTGTTTGTTGTTTACAGGTTCTTTTCAGCAAGTGGATGTTGCTCAGCAATAAGGGCAGTCTGCACGTCGCGGGTCGCCGTATGCCATACGTCGCTCGACAGCCTCAGCTTGAGGCCCAGGGGCAGGCGACTTTGGAAGGCCTGCTCCGTACAGCTGGACATTGCCACCTCCAGGAAGAGCTCGTTCACCTGTCTTTGACTTTTCCGGGGAGCCCCATGCAACCGAACCCCCTCCCCCCCAAAAAAAAAGAACGACCCCCCAAAAAATAAATAAATAAATGGGTTTCCTTTGTGGTTTCCCTTTGAAGCGACCGAAAAAGGGGGAACCTGAACAAAAGACAGACCCACCTGCGCATGCGGCAGTTCGCCGAACCAACGCGGGGCCAAACGGCATCCCCTGCTAGCGGAGCACTGATGTGATGTGGTGGCTCTGTTCGTTTTCGATTGCCGGCAGCCTCCAATTCACCCAGAAAAAAGCCAAATTGAGAACAGCGATCATTAATGGCTTCCAAGTGGCATGCCAGAACTGAAACTACCCATGTAGTCATGTCACTCCGTGTGGGTGTGTGTGTGTGTGTAAAATTGTATAACAATTGACAACATTTACAGGTACACTACACGGAGTGTCTGGCCAGAGTCGCCAAACAAAACCAAAAAGAGTGCCCTACCACAACTGAGCAAATCTGAGCATATCGTGATTTTTGGCTGATTTCGGGGCAGGTCAAGGCCAGCCAAGCAAGTGATGCATGAGTGTCGACTGGACATCGCACAAAAGGGAGTGTACTTTGTGTTGGTCCTTCTTCGTGGGGAAGCACGGAGCGACGCCAAAGCGAGAGACCCAGTTGGCACGTGGAAAACACCATGTCACATGAATTGTAAATTCGCATTCATGTGTTCATTTTGCACGTTGGTTCAATGTGAACTTTAGTTCTATGCAGCGAACCATGCCAGTCATGAGTGATGAGTGATTCCGTATTTGTCATGCTGTTTGACTAGTTCAGGGGATTCTGCAAAGATTCCTCTGATTAGCTGTGTCCTTGACGTTCATCGAAGTCCATGTGAATGAAACGGAACCCTGAATCTCCCTCACTTGAAGTCTGGGGTTGATGTTCATCCTGCGCCGCAAGGACATCTGAGCCAGCGGACAGTACTTCTAGATTCCGATTTCTCAGATGCTCAAGCCATAGCATCCTCCGGTCCCACGATTCACGGTGCCTATCTTCTACATAAGTCCAATATCAAGCTTCCATGTGCAAGACGCCCCAGCCAGCTCAGCAAGTCATCATTCCGAACAAATCGGACATTCGGGTTCAGCTTGCTCCGGCCTCCTCACAAACGTCGTCCAGGAAATTCTGGTCTGTGACAATCTGCCAGGGGCTCAGCACGATCTTGGCGGTGCCTCGATCTCTGAAGGCCCAGGGCCGTTTCCGGACAGCGGGGAAAAGCCGACGGGCTGTTGGAAAAACTGTTGTGACTTGAACATGCAAACCTCGTTGAGGACCTGTAAGTCGTAGTCTGTCCCATCGATTCGGTATTTCAGTGGTCGCATTGACAGGTTGCGTCGCGCGGGCACATATTTTGGAGGATCAGCTGGATTTATGGCACTTCAATCATCCCATACGAAGTGGGATTTCCGTCTAAAAACTCCAAGCCCTTCAAATTGTTTGGCTTCTAGACTCCTCTGACGAAGCATGCTTAGCACCTTCTGCTCGGAAGCAGCTGTCTTTGGCCCTAGGCGACAAGCCCCATCCTCTCCCTGTCACTGTCCAAACAAGAAACACCCGCTGTTCAATCAAATGACAACATGTATGTCAACATAACCCATGCAAACAGAACACAGTGGCGTTCTGAAACCATTACAAGTTCATTGTTTGGACTGCCATCCTAGGGGGAATCCAGCAGTTTCGCTTCCAAACAAAACAAACTGAACTCAGGGAGCCTCCAAAAAACATGCGAAACCCCGTGCTCGCTCGTTGAGCTCGTTCGTGTCGTTGGGGCCCGGGCGGTCCGCATTGGCGCCCTGAAAGCGCTTCACCTCCAGGTTGGTGCTCTTGAACACCTCTGGGTCCTCGGGTTCGCAGAGCCTCGCACAGCCTCGCAGAGCCTCGCACCTCGCAGAGCCATCGAACCACAGGTCTTGGGGTCCTTTGGAGATCGAAATCTTTAAGATGGACCTCGCACATTCGCACAGAAGCCACGGAACCTCAGGTTTTGGGGTTTGGACTTCGAAATGCTTGAGATGGACTTCGTGGGTGCCATGGAGTACGCGGACAGGAGCAAAATATCCGTGCTCCATGTGAGCAAAAAAAACAAATCGATTCGCAAGCCGGAAATCGTGAATCCCCAAAAAACCTTCATGAGCTCGTGTTTCCCCAAGGCCACCTCGTTAAAGAATTTGGCCAGGTGGAATGCTTCCAGCATCGAATCGAACACGGTATGACAAACAACTCCAAGCACATCAGAAACATAGCACGTCTGGATGCTGAATAGGGTCTCAGAAACACTAGCAAACAGGCTTCCTGTTGGGCAAAGTAACACTCGCAGCTGGGCAGAGCACCCTATGTTCAGATCCAATGGTTTCAGGCTTCGGAAACTTCCGGTCGATGGTCCTGGCACTTCTTGGCATGATTCGCCATCTCCTCCACCATAACGGTGATGACCTGGGCTGGCGGCTGGAAATCGGACACTTTTTGGAAACCTCGTGGTGCTTTTATGGTTCCATGCAGCATGTCTCGAAGTGGGGAACTCCCTTGAAAGGGGGTTCCCGAACGACATGCCAAGCCAAACATCGCCAGAAGGAAGCGACGACTTCCAATTGGGCAAAGCAACTTTTATAACAATTTGGAGTCTTTGGGGTGACAGGTTCTCTTGGGGTGACTTTCCTAACAAATATGTTGTTCATTTTCGGGGTCACAAATTCCCTGGACAGCACGTCAGTCCGGAAATGAACGGTCCCCCTCACGTTTCTCTCGGTCCCCGACGCCGGCATCGTCTCCTTCTGGAGGGAACCTAAGGCTGAACCGAGGCCGTCGAGGCTTGGAACCACATATCAAATGGCTCAGCAAGGACCTAGGAACATGAGCAACCACCATGAGAACACGAACAAGGTTCTTAGGAACCAACATTACTTGGGAACCTGTACTATCAAAGCAACATGAGAAGCAACAAGAAACAGCGCATTTCCAAACTTCGCAAAGAATCTTGATCGTTGGCGAGAACACTTTACCCGCGAGCTGAGCTCGTTGTAGCTGCGTTTTCCCCACAGTACTCAGCCACAAACAATGTCTAGCAGGCGGACTCGCAACTGGAATTTTCCAACCCTGTCCTTCTGACCGAGCCCAACCTGCTTTGGCACCCCGAGCCTCTCGGCTTTTCGCCACGCGGTTTCCTGTGGCGTCCTTAAAAGGTACATTTTATTCTTAAATTCGTTCAGAAAATGAAGCGGACAGGGGCCAAAATACCGCCGTAATCGATTTTAAATCAGGGAGGGCCTGGATCCCAACAAGCAAGCGGCCGGAAAATCTAACCAGCTTCCTGTTTACATTAAGTATCTCCTTCGCATGGCGTAATTGTCGTACATAAAATAACAGTGTTACACCGGCACGTATTCATCTCTACTCTTGGTATGGTAGCAAAAAACTTTGTTTTTTGCAGACCCCCAGCAAAAATGAACAGAACCAAAAAACTAAAAAACCAAAAAACATGCCAAGAACAGCGAAGTATTCATTGGGGAGCGAGAACCTGGAGTAAAGAAATCCAAAGGGGAGCCCCGTCTATTCAGCGGGCGAGGTGGGGTTCACAAACAATTCTGCTGAGCCAACCTTAGCACTCACCTACAAATCCACGTGGACATGGATCTTCCGAACTCGTCACCGATTTGTCAAAAGACACTTCCTCTAAACATGTTTTGCTTTTTGGGGGGCGGAGGGACCATGTCATCTTTTTGTCGGAGAGGAATCAATCCCATTCACCCAGAGCCCACAAGCTCCCGACTCCAACCTCGGGACTAGGGGCCTGACGCCTCTTCGGATAGCTGGTACATCCTCAGTACTAAATGATCCCAACTTGTCTCACAGAGGTACCCCAAACCGGAGGGGGCGTGTCTATTGGGTTTGCCTTTAAAGCAACCCCAAGGCGTACCCAAGTCTTTGAGCCTCTGATCCCTGCAACGCAGCATCAGGTATCCGAGCAAACTGCAGAAACACTGTCCAAAAGTCTTCCAACAATTTCCGCACCAACCCATGCAATTGCCTGTTTTCCATCGACAAAGCAAGGGCTTCTCTTTTCCCAAAAGCATCTCTGATGCTTGGGTTCTGCTTTAGGTTTTCTCTTAAGGTGCCTGGGAGCGATACAAGCTGTGACGACGGAGATAAGAAGGGATTTCCATTTCGTTGTGCTGCAGACCGGGTGTGCGATGCTGGCTGGGGGTGCAGACCGGGCGTACGAGGCTGGCTGGGGACGGTGGTGTGGGGCTGGCTGGGTGCGCGAGACTGGCGCGGTGGACGAAACCGCCCCCGAGCGAGACGGGCGCGGGGGACGCTCGTGACAGGCCGAAACCGCCCCGAGCGAGACTGGCGCGGTGGACGCTCGGGACATGCGGAAACCGCCCGCGAGCGAGACTGGCGCGGTGGACGCTTGTGACAAGCGGAAACCGCCCCCCGAGCGAGACGGGCGCGGGGGACGCTTGTGGCAGGCCGAAACCGCCCCCGAGCAAGACGGGCGCGGGGGACGCTCGTGACAGGCCGAAACCGCCCCCGAGCGAGACGGGCGCGGGGGACGCTCGTGACAGGCCGAAACCGCCCCCGAGCGAGACGGGCGCGGGGGACGCTGTGACAGGCCGAAACCGCCCCCGAGCGAGACGGGCGCGGGGGACGCTCGTGACAGGCCGAAACCGCCCCCGAGCGAGACGGGCGCGGGGGACGCTCGTGACAGGCCGAAGCCGCCCCCGAGCGAGACGGGCGCGGGGGACGCTCGTGACAGGCCGAAACCGCCCTCCAGCGAGACGGGCGCGGTGGACGCTCGTGACAGGCGGAATTTTAAACCGCCCTCGAGCGAGACGTGCGCGGTGGACGCTCGTGACAGGCCGAAACCGCCCCCGAGCGAGACGGGCGCGGGGGACGCTCGTGACAGGCCGAAACCGCCCGAGCGAGACGGACGCTCGTTACAGGCGGAAACCGCCAGTCGACTGGCGCGGTGGACGCTCGTGACAGGCCGAAACCGCCCCCGAGCGAGACGGGCGCGGGGGACGCTCGTGACAGGCCAAAACCGCCCCCGAGCAAGACTGGCGCGGTGGACGCTCGTGACAAGCGGAAACCGCCCCCGGGGCGCGGGGGACGCTCGTGACAAGCCGAAACCGCCCCCAAGCGAGACGGGCGCGGGGGACGCTCGTGACAGGCCGAAACCGCCCCCGAGCAAGACGGGCGCGGGGGACGCTCGTGACAGGTCGAAACCGCCCCCGAGCGAGACGGGCGCGGGGGACGCTCGTGACAGGCCGAAACCGCCCCCCGAGTGACAGGCCAAAACCGCCGCCGAGCGAGACGGGCGCGGGGCCTGCGAGGGAGACTGGCGCGGGGGACGCTCGTGAGAGGCCGAAACCGCCCCCGAGCGAGACGGGCGCGGGGGACGCTCGTGACAGGCCGAAACCGCCCCCGAGCGAGACTGGCGCGGTGAACCGCCCGCGAGCGAGACTGGCGCGGTGGACGCTCGTGACAAGCGGAAACCGCCCACGAGCGAGACTGGCGCGGGGGACGCTCGTGAGAGGCCGAAACGTTTCTGCATGGCGCGGTGGACGCTCGTGACATGCGGAAACCGCCCTCGAGCGAGACTGACGCGGCGGACGCTTGTGACATGCGGAAACCGCCCGCGAGCGAGACCGGGCGCGGGGGACGCTCGTGACAAGCCGAAACCGCCCCCGAGCGAGACGGGCGCGGGGGACGCTCGTGACCCGAGCGAGACGGAAGCCGCCCCCGAGCGAGACAGGCGCGGGGGACGCTCGTGACAGGCCGAAACCGCCCCCGAGCGAGACTGGCGCGGTGGACGCTCGTGACAAGCGGACCGCCCCCGAGCGAGACGGGTGCGGGGGACGCTTGTGACAGGCGGAAACCGCCCCCGAGCGAGACTGGCGCGCTGGACGCTCGGGCCGAAACCGCCCCCGAGCGAGACGGGCGCGGGGGACGCTCGTGACAGGCCGAAGCCGCCCCCGAGCAAGACGGGCGCGGGGGACGCTCGTGACAGGCCAAAACCGCCCCCGAGCGAGACTGGCGCGGTGGACGCTCGTGACATGCGGAAACCGCCCGCGAGCGAGACTGGCGCGGTGGACGATTGTGACATGCGGAAACCGCCCCCGAGCGAGACTGGTGCGGGGCGCGAGCGAGACTGGCGCGGTGGACGCCCGTGACGTGCGGAAACCGCCCGCGAGCGAGACTGGCGCGGTGGCGCGGGGGACGCTCGTGACAGGCGGAAACCGCCTTCGAGCGAGACGGGCGCGGGGGACGCTCGTGACAGGCGGAAACCGCCCTCGTGCGCCAAAATTGTCCTTTTTGCCGCACACCTGACCCGAACAAATGGCGCCGACGTGTTTCTAGGACGAACCCTCTCTTGAGAAGCTGTGGCCTCTTGGGGTTCGCCCTACTTATTTGGAAGCAGCCTGGAAGCACGTTGAAAATGTTTATGCTGAGCACACTCGGCCCAAACAAAAGGGCGTACGAACATCCGAACAGCTGACCCCGGTCTACGCAGATCGTGCTAACACTGTGTCTCAGACTTGTTTCAGACAGGCGTCAGACCCACCAAGTGACCGAGGCTTGTCCACACCGAGCCCCCCGCACTTTTTGCCGCACACATGACCCGAACAAACGCCAATGTGTTTCTATGCTGAGCACACTCGGCCCAAACAAAAGGGCGCACGAACATCCGAACAGCTGACCCCGGTCAACGCGGATCGTGGTAACACTGCGTCTCAGACTTGTTTCGGACAGGCGTCAGACCACCAAGTGACCGAGGCTTGTCTACGCCGAGCCCCCCGCAAAAGCACAGCGCCGGCCCCCTCCCACCCAAGTTGCCATCCACACGCATCCAATTGACAACGTGCGCGGCTCTTTCCACAAAGTCACCAGTTGCAATTGGTTGCGAATGGGAAAATAGGTGGAGAAACTAACGAATCCAAGCAAGCTTACGACGCAAGTTTGTGAAGGCCACGTGTGCGGCTCCATGTGAACAGCCCGGCGTTGCAGGTGCGCCACAATTGTCCTTTTTGCCGCACACCTGACCCGAACAAAGGGCGCCGATGTGTTTCTAGGACGAACCCTGTCTTGAGAAGCTGTGGCCTCTTGGGGTTCGCCCTACTTATTTGGAAGCAGCCTGGAAGCACGTTGACATGAATATGCTGAGCACACTCGGCCCAAACAAAAGGGCGCATGAACATCCGAACAGCTGACCCCGGTCTACGCAGATTGTGGTAACACTGTGTCTCAGACTTGTTTCGGACAGGCGTCAGACCCACCAAGTGACCGAGGCTTGTCCACACCGAGCCCCCCGCAAAAGCGCAGCGCCGGCCCCGTCTCCACACACCTGCGGCGAATCCACCCAACTTGCCATTCACACGCATCCAATTGACAACGTGCGCGGCCATTTCCACAAAGTCACCAGTTGCAATTGGTTGCGAATGGGAAAATAGGCGGAGAAACTAACGAATCCAAGCAAGCTTGCGAAGCAAGTTTGTGAAGGCCACGTGCGCGGCTCCATGTGAACAGCCCGGCGTTCCAGGTGTGCCAAAATTGTCATTTTTGCCGCACACCTGACCCGAACAAATGGTGCCAATGTGCTTCTAGGACGAACCCTCTCTTCAGAAGCTGTAGCCTCTTGGGGTTCGCCCTACGTATTTGGAAGCAGCCTGGAGGCACGTTGACATGAATATGCTGAGCACACTCGGCCCAAACAAAAGGGCGCATGAACATCCGAACAGCTGACCCCGGTCTACGCAGATCGTGGTAACACTGTGTCTCAGACTTGTGGCGCCAGACCCACCAAGTGACCGAGGCTTGTCCACACCGAGCCCCCTGCAAAAGCGCAGCGCCGGCCCCCTCTCCACACACCCGCGGCGAATCCACCCAAGTTGCCATCCACACGCATCCAATTGACAACGTGCGTGGCCCTTTCCACAAAGTCACCAGTTGCAATTGGTTGCGAATGGGAAAATAGGTGGAGAAACTAACGAATCCAAGCAAGCTTACAAAGCAAGTGTGTGAAGGCCACGTGCGCGGCTCCATGTGAACAGCCCGGCGTTCCAGGTGCGCCAAAATTAATGTCCTTTTTGCCGCACACCTGACCCGGACAAATGGTGCCAATGTGTTTCTAGGACGAACCCTCTCTTGAGAAGACTCTTGAGAAGCTGTAGCCTCTTGGGGTTCGCCCTACTTATTTGGAAGCAACCTGGAAGCATGTGACATGCGAAAACTGCCCGCGAGCGAGACTGGCGCGGGGGACGCTCGTGATATGCGGAAACTGGGCGCGAGCGAGGCTGGCGCGGGGGACGCTTGTGAGGCGCAGACTGGGAATCTAGAATGATGGGCCGGAGCAGCAGTGTTAAGGGGAGATTTGGTGGTTCTAGAGTCCCTGTTTTTTTTTGCGAAAAAAGGGGGACTCTAGAATGATGGAATCTGGGGTTTCAGGGCTGGAGCGGCAGTGTTAAGGGGAGATTTGGCGGTTCTAGAGTTCTAGTTTTTTGTTTGAAAAAAGGGGGCTCTAGAATAATGGAATCTGGCGCTGTAGGGCCAGAGCAGCAGTGCTAAGGGGAGATTTTGTGGTTCTGGAGCCCCTGTTTTTTTTTTTAAGGGGGGAGGCTCTAGAATGATAGCACTTGGTGTTCCAGAGCCTTTCTTTGTTCATGCAATACATCCGTTGCACCCAGTGAACATGTGTTTTTCATGGATTCGCAAGGGGTAAACCCGGGATTTTCACTGGCAGTTGTTTTTGGGATCGTTAGGTCACCCAACAATGGGGCACTGAATAAATAGACTTTGCCAAGCCAACATCGTTGTGCTAAGTAGGGTGATTTGTCGAGCTGTTGCCATTTTTCCAGCATTGGACGTGGATAGAGGGACCTTTTTAGCTTGACGTATATTTGTCCAACCTCCTCCTGTGCATTTCCATGATTCTTCGAAAGGGGGTAGGGTCACTTTGTTATGCTGCCCTGTTGGTTTTGACGGAGCCATGTTATGACTGGACTGTACGCATTTAGCGGAACATCTTTAAATGCCTGTTTATGATCCCTGTTAGGTGTTGTCAAGGGAAATGGTCATGACGGGTATCCCGACCCCCCCCCCCCGTTCATCAGCCAGCACAATCTTGAGCGGTAGCTCTCTTCCCCAGCTCCCGGACTTTAGCCACTTCTAAGGCGCACGGTGCTGGTGCCCAACAAGTGTTTCGACTTTCCTTGATCGATCCACTCTGGAAGCATTCGGGATGCCTCAGCTCTTTGGTGTAGCAGGCAGACCAAATGGATGGCGCGCTGCGAAAATGGCTCACAGGAAACGGTCACTGGTTCTTCTTTGCTTGCCTCCAAGATGTTGGAGTTTCAGTCTGGGCCAAAAACACGTCTGGGCCACAAACACGAGCTCAGATGGGTGTAGAGGGATCTTATGCCTTGCTTCCAATTTGGGAGTGGTAGTTTGTGCGGATCCATTTTCGGATTTCTGCGATTGGTTCTTCATGATGAATCAGATGACTTCGTGCCTTCCATGTAGTGCGGGGCCTGTCATGTTTCACCCGTGCCTTTGCCTTTTTCTCTGTGCTTGGTCAGAGCACAGGCTGCTGGCTGCCAATCCGGCTTGAGTCGCGGTTGCTCCTCTTCTTCATCTGTTTTGGGGTTGATTTCCCAACTGTGAAGAACTTAAATCGTGGTTTGCCTTCGGACCCTTGAGCCGGAAAACAACGGGATCCACATGCCATGGGGAGTGAGGCTGGTTTGCTTTTGGGTTCCCGGGCTCCTCTTGTTTGTGTTGGTTCCTCCCAAACGGAGTTTCATCAATAAGGAGCAACATGGCAAAAGGGTAGGCCCCAAAAAAGGGAAAGAGCAAGAGCATCGTGTTGAAACTGATTGCCAACGTAACCCAATCTGAGGGTTTTTGTATTACACCCTGGGATCACACCCTTGGGAAATGACCCAGAATGGTTCAACATAACAAGGCTTTCTCCGGAAATGTGCCTAAAATGGGGTCAATACCCAGTGGGTGTATTCCCAGGGTGTAATACAAAAAAGCTTAGACCCAAGGATTCGAGGAATTGCATCGATCAGATTTGATTTCCTCTGGCCAAACAAGTGACTTCGCACCCAAACTCTGACACCAAGATCTGCTCGCTTTCGCCGAGCATCTTCAGCAGCTGACGCATTGCCTCCGCCTTGGAGCGGGGTGCGAGTGGCTAAATCAGCGTCCGTGGAATTGAAGGTGCATCCCACAAGGCTTTCCAGCAGCAAACACTCAAGCGTTTCCAGCGCACGAGTCCAGCGGGTGATCTAGTCCTTGAGGGCCTTATATCACTTCCCATGGATCTGGTGGCATCTCTCCGGCTGCGCCACGCAGCCAGAAGGGGGCTTTGTTCCTTATTGAGACCAGTCTTCATAACGGAAACTTACATGAAACCAGTTGCATTTGGAGGGCTCCCTCATACAGCCGACAGATTCTACTTTTTCTTGGAAGGCCTGGATCTTCCAAAAGGCCGTTCGCCGCGGCGGCAGCTGGCCACTTCATGAGAGCCATGGATGGAATTGATAAGGCCGCAACATCTGGCCAACACAGGAGGGAGAGTGTTGAAACAAGGGAGCTCTTCAAATAGTTGAATTCGTTTTGGTGGCCTTCCCAAGACTGAGCCAAGGGGCCCCGATTTCAGGAGACACCCATGCTAAGGTCCCACTGCACGTTCGGCTTTGTTAGGTATGTTGTCAACAACAGGGCTTCATGGCTCAGTTGGCGGATTAAGTGCGCCGGAGCCTTGAAGAGAAGGCTGCATTGATTTTCGGCAGCTTGATGCTGCTGCTCCCCCAAATCGCTGATTCTTGCTTGGCCCGCAGCAAGGTCATGCCCTCGTTCAAGATCGATACAGCCCGTGGCTGCTCAATGCTCCAGGCACCAAGGTGCTGTGGTGTCCGGATGCACTGACGTAATTCCTTGGAGAACTGCATGGTGAATCGGCAAGGCGAAGCAATAGGACTTTGCGGTGCGGTGCATCTGGAGAAGCGCTGGAATGCCAGACCAATGGCAAGGTCTGTCTGCATCAAGAAGCTTAAAACAATATCAGAGGCCTTTCAAAATTGGCCAGCGGGACAACAAACGATCCCTGAAACCGCAGATATCAAAGCCTCGTGCCACTGGACAACTGTAACTGGATGCTGACACTAGCCAGGCAGGGTGTGCTTCGGTTTATGTTGAATTCCTAGTAGTAGTTGAACTCAAAGAGGGCCCTAAAAGCACAAACACAACTCCGTCACATCAAAGGGGCCCAAGGGGTCAGTGGTAAATCCGCAAGGCATGCGTCCTAGAGATACAAAGGCATCTTGAAATAGGTGTTGTCTTTGGTGGACCGTGATGTTAACGACATGAGGGGGTTGCACCACCGTCTTGCCCTCTATAACAGGCCCTTGGAGCGTTCATCCGAGCCAGCGAGCGCTATGGCCCGCCTTTTACTCCCCTTGAGCCTTGGGAGGTTCTACTGCGGATGGAAGAAATCCGTTCGCTCCACTTTGAAACCATGGTTGAAACAGCTGTTTGTTGGCTGTTACGCTGGGCACTCATCGTTCCAAGGTTTTCTTGTAGGTGCGAAACGGATTTCGCAACCATCCACGGTATGACCTGGTTCCATCTCGGGGCGCCCGGCCGGGCTCAAGGACTTGTTCTGCTCCGCGTTGGTCATGAGCGCCGGCGAGTGGAACCTGGCGCTGGCCGAGGGCAGAATGCTCTACCCAACCCGCAAAAAAGGGAATCCCGCCAGGACCTTCTTTTACCATTAACCGGAAATTGGGGAATCAACCAGGAAAATATCTGCATGTGCCGGTAGTAAAAGATCTGCATGTGCTCGTTTTACCCCATTCCCTTCTGTTTGCCGAGTGGCAGGAGGAAGCCGCGCTGGTTCAAGCCATCCGCGTTCAGGAATTCTGTGAGCTCCTGCCCCGCATGCGCCGTTCACGCCAAGGCTTGGCTGAGCCTCAGGCTGAACAATACGGGTGTCCTTTGTTAAGGGTACTCCATGACCCTTGCAAAATGGGGTCATTACCCAAAATTAAGGGGTCATGGACCCATCTTTTAAGGGTCATGGAGACTCCAGGTACCCTTCTTGGGGATAGCGTTGATGGAAACCAAAAGGAAACTACCCGGTTGCAGGGTTCTCCCAGTTGCAAACAACTCCATATGCTCAAATATTGAGAGGGATTGTTGCCAGCTAGCCAAATGCCTGTGACAAAAGAAACAGCCATGGGCCATGAATGGATCGGGGACTAAATCCTGGCACCCCGATGATATTGTCCGTTGCAATCGAAAGGTGAGCTCTGACTGCAGGTGAACTCCTGCCGCACGTCTGGGTCCAAGCACATGAACTCATCGTGCACCTCAGACATTTGCACGGGAAAGCTCTCGTCAAACGGACGGCATGCTCATGACCGATGTCGAGTTTTTGCTTCCTCCAACACAACGAATCTGCAGGAAATACTCCTCCTCCCACGGTTGCCACGGCAACGTGGGAGAGAGCGTACCATTTTTCACCTCATCGTGGGAGAGCTCGTCTTGCCCCGAGTGAGCTTAATATGGTTTGCCCAGAAGGTATTTACAAAGTACGTAGCCAACCACATAGAAACACGCATTTTGGGGTGGGCTCCTTTTGTTGGAGCTGGTGCCTCTTTTCGGAGTGGTGAGAGCCTCTATTTGATTTGTTGTCCGGAGGTGTTACCTTTTCGTTGGGTTGTTTTGAGGCATGTTTTAGGGAGGGGCAGAAGGTTCCAGGGTCAGCAAAGAACCAATTGATTCAGCGCATGTTGCTTCTCACCGTTTGCTTGGGTTGAGCATCAAGTTGGGACCACTGAAAGCCTAAAAAATGAGAGGGGGGGGTGTCGGCTGTTTGCCTTTGTGCAAATTAATGTTCGGCTCCATGTATCCAGTGCCATTTGCCCAACGTGCCAGAAAAACAAACCCTTCGCTGGTGGGTTGGACTGGATTTGGGGATTTGAACTCCTGGTTGTTGTAGAGGGTTTGCATGGGAAGCCTCCCCCCAAACCACCAAACATCAAACCAAGCCAAACCACAAACTAGAGGGGCGCGGATTCCATCGTTCGCTTGCAAAGCCATCGGTCATTCCGGGATTTTGGGGCAGTTGTTCAAAAAGCAGGACTCCTGTGCTGCATGTCAGATGCTTTGATCAAGGTCAAGCACAGGCAAAATCACCAAAGGTTCACCTCCACAAATAAATGTAGACCCCAACAAAAAGCTTCAAGGAATCTCCTTCTGCAGGACCCCCCTTTGGGTCCCGTGTGGACTTTTCCGAGTAGCATTTCAAGAGGATACGTCAGTTTGTCATCCCGGCTGCGCCATGTTGCCGTTCGTCCATCTTTAAACCAAGCCTGCATTCAGCACAATCCCATCACCACTACTGGGATACCAAATAGTCAGCGATATAATGAAGGCTTTCAACAAAGTCCGTAACCCCTATCAATCAAACTCACCGCATCAACATCTTCAACCGTACACAGCAATTCGAAGAAGAGAACACAGAGGGGCCAAAACTAAAAAAAAACAAATACCAAACACTTACCTGGATGCCTCAATAAATATGTTCATTTGCACCGGGAAAGGTCTTAAATATTAGGATGAGAGATGGCTGGTTTTTCCTACCAAAAATCTGACCGGACGTCCCCCAGTTCCATCTTGCTGGATGGACATAAATCCCCCATGTAAATGATGTCTACCAAAGGGCTCAACCGAGAAGAACTCATAAGTATGGGTGTGTATTGAACTTGGACTTATGTGGACCATCAATCATGATGGTTTTCTTGTTGGTTTCCGGCTAAAACCAAATAAAGGTACCAGCCTTGAACAAACACACACGCCCAATTAGAATTTGTACCCATGTCAAAACAAAAATCAACAACAGACAACCAAACGCCTTGGGAACATATGAATTATTGTTCCAGCAATGTTGAAGCTTTCCACAAAGGGGAGCCACCATCCAAAAGGGGTCCTTTTTCAATTTGAAGCCACCCTCTTGGGAGATCAACAGACGAAACCAGCTGTCGGACGCATACTGTGGATGGACGAATTCCAGTTCGCACCACTTTGAAACCATGGTTGAACTCCATAACGTTGGTATATATATATATATATTTACATTGGGGAATCGACTCAGAAACCTTTGGGTGTCCTATTAGAAGAAGTACACCTTTTTTCAGTAGTGATAGATTCCCTTTAAAGCCAACAGTGCAGCAATACGAAAACTTCAGCAATTGGAAGGAAATGGATGACTCGCAACCATCAGAATCGGATGCCGAGGTCCTCGCCCTTTTGCCCTTCGACTTCTCAAAAACCCGGGTGAGGCAAATGAGGCGCACGATGGCCTTCTGCCTCAAGCACACAAGCAAGCGACACACGCACACACACACACACACACATACACACGCTCCCCAGTGACCAGATTCCGCGAAATCAGTGTTTAGTAGGATGTTTTGGGAGGTCTCTTTTTTGGCAGAAGAGAGGCTGTGTTTAGGTCGACTCCACTCCAAACAACTGCCAAAGGGTGCCACAAAAGTGGGCTGCTTGAAGCATCCAATCAGGCGGAGCGGCCTGGAACCCTTGTTTCTTGGCAGGAACCGAAAGCAGACAGATTCACTCGTAAAATCAGAGCTCCTTCTTCCTGAGTGGATTGGCAAAACAAAGAGTCCAAACTTTTTGTTTGCCACTAACATGGTTTTTTCAAGAAGTCCACGAACTCAGAAAGTGACAGCCAGAATAGTCCTGAGCTCCGGGAAACTGCCAGTTGTTCTCTGAAGCAAGAGCAATATATCAGCAGCCATGCGGTACGTCAACCCGGAATCACGGAATGCCAAAAGTCCGTAGCTGTGCGTTCAACTTCATATTGACTTCGGACTCATCCGGATGACCGTACTCCCCTTTAAGTCCACTTCCTCTGACCAGGTAGGCTGAGATTGAACTGCCAGGGGTTCTGTCCCCAGAAACTTGCCGATGCCCTCGATGACTTCTTTGGAGCGCGACACTGTTCAATTCATTTCAGGGATTTGTGTTTTCTGACAAGTGCCGAATATCGTGGGATTGTTGCTCGCGCTTGATAAAACAAGCGACGATCGGGTGGGTACAAAGAAAGGGGAAGCAGAAAACAGGGTGAGCAAACATGGCGTGGTACCCATCAAATCCTATATGTTGTTGCTTAAAGTTCCTTTATTGGCAGTTTCTGTTTACGGAAGTAACAACTTGATCAGATCCCTTTACCATAAACTCCTTTGGTGTCACACAAACTACGTAGCAACTTAGACCCGAGGTTCCACCAGTGCTTCGTTGTAAGCCCTGGAAGAATCACATGATATTCCCTTCCCCCGCAAGGCAGGTTCCCTAGCAATAAGACTTGTCTAAATCTAAACCAATACTCAACTAGCGATTGCCACTGCAGACCCCAAGCAGTGGTTTAGGGAGTCCCCGGAAAGGGCTCCAGAGACAGAAGAGCCGAAGAGGGATGGAACCGGGCGGGGGGGGGGGGAAGGATACTAAACACATAACACAACCTTCCCAGCATACTGTCGTTTTTTT